ACACACAGACTGTGAGTGCAAGAGGATTGGCTCCCAACGGATTCTCTGGCTTTTCTGAACAATGCGACAATCCACAGCATAAAGATCAGTTTCACTGTTCGCTGACAGCCTATCTCATTCTGACTCAATCCTCTGGGGATAGGTCAGCCAGAACAAAGAATGTTTCCACATTGAGAAGCGAGGTTCGCCTGAGAATGCGACGACATACTTTTCTGACAGAAAACTTTTAGATGGCGATTCTTAGATAGATCACCATGTCGCTTACCAAGTCGAAAAGCAGAGACGATGTTGGCATCCTTCACTGAACAAGAGGGATATCGTTCGCTTCAAAATGACCTTGGTCGTCGAGCGACATCTCAGTGGAGGCGTCTTGTCGAATTGAGGAACATCAGTGACTATTAAGCAACGATCACGAGGTGGGTTATTTCCTGTTAGAATCCTCGGCTTTTGTGAAAGCGGTTTTTCTTTGCTGTTTTTCTCGTTAGTTAACCTTTATAATGTGCTTGTTACGTTGGGGTAGGGCTTGATTTCACTTAAGGCCTTAAAGCTGTCTTTGTAGCCAGGTTCGTCCCAGATGTTTCTGCAGCGTTCGTGCGCGCCTCGGCCGCATGTCTTCGTCTTCGTTTCAGTCTTAGTTGTAGCCTTCTTATCTTTGCATTCAACACTGTAGTAGCGTCTCCTTCAATGACACGGAGGTTTAGCTTTGCTTTTGTGCCGGATTAGCGGATCCCATCGTAAAAATCGACAGACGAGGGTCGAGGATACAGTACCAGACTGAATGGCCAGGTGATTTGGAGAGGGTTACAATATGGGTGGAATCAAACTGGCCCCGATAGATCTATTGTTCACCACAGCTCGACAGGGGTCGATGACGAGCAATAATCAAAGAATCAGCCTGTTTTAAGTATTCTTAGAGGTAAAGTTCAAGGTTGTATGCAGCCATGCCTCATACAGAGTGCACTTCATGGCCTTTGATCGGGTGACATCTTTGCGGCGGTCCAAGCACTTGGAGATCATTATTAATCTTTCCATCACTCATTTCTATGATGAAAATGATCTCAATACAACGAAATACACACTTCTCCACCTGTAGTGAAGCACTTTCAGAATCGCTTAACTGCGTATTTCTATGTTGACTGAGAGGTAAACCTTTACATCACATTTGGCTACCAGGGAGCTAATATTTACCGACATTCCGAAAATGTTAGAACTGAAGTATTGTTCGCACACTAAAAATTCCGTTCACCGTATGTTTCATTACTGTTTAACATCACAAAACAAACTGCTCAAAATGTCACAGTTTCTTTGCTGTACAACTTTCGCCATTCTCCTGTATGTAGTCTACCTCAATGCCTCAGGTTCCGCTGTTGTTCATTTTGCTCTTTGATTCATTTATCGGGCCGAATTAGCAGTCCTGTCTTTATTTCAACACCCACGGACCAATATCCCAGTTGCAGCTGACGTATTGTATGTTGTTTACGACCAGTGAACTCTCTTTTTACTCATGATTTCAGCTCATTCTTCCCAAATTTCTACGTAAATAATTGTGTTTGTCAATCGTACCCGAACATTCTTTGCTCTCACTCTTTTTAGGACGCGCCGAATGATCCTTTTCTGATCGACTCATTTCACTAGATATCGAGGAATACCATCACTACTGGCAACGCACATGACTCACTAGTCAGTTTGGGTGCAGCCATGACTTACGGCACCCGGAGTCAGTGCAGATTTTCATTATCCGTTCGTACAAGAGCATTGCTGCAAAAATTTCACGAGCGTGCACTGAAGCATCAGCGATTATTTACTTGGAGCTGTTCAGAAATGCGATTGAGAACTCGTATCATTCCAGCACCTTCATCTGCAAATATTAAGATTCCATCCTTGGACACAGCCTCTACTTTGTCTTCAGTCTTAGACAGTTATCCGAATCGCGAGTTGAAGTTGACTGGTGATCCCCTCCATCCTAACATTGTTGGTGCAGAGCTATCCGTTGCACCAAACAGTAGCAATAACGGATCCTCATCTTCCATCTACTCTACTGATTCGACGGAAACCACCCTCATTTCCGCTTGCAAATGGGAGAAATGCGGAGCCTTGGTTCATCAGTCACAGCTGGTCAGTCACATTCAGCAAACACATGTGCTACCGCAGTTGGTTTCCAATCGGCGCAAATGTTTCATTTGTTTATGGCAGGGTTGTCGTGTATTTCGTTTGCCCAGTGTTTCTGCGGGTTGGCTTGAAAACCACATACTACATCACACGGACGCTAAAGGGAAACCCTTTCGGTGTATCTTTGATGGCTGCAACATGCGCTTTTCCACGTCCATTTTGTTAGAGAGACATGTTCAACGAGCTCACATGCCTCTGTCACCGAAAATTGCGCTATCCCCGCAGCATTCGACTCAAGTTGAACACGACGCTTCAACTTCAAAGGTTCGCGAAGTCAATGATCCATCATTAAAGGAGACAGACAAACACCTTATTTCCCCCAACCCTAGTGCCAAAAAGAATCTACGCAGGCGTAAAAGAGCCCGAGGTTATCGAGGTTAGTTTGTTATTTCTCGACGAGACTATGCCTACTTCTCTCCATAGTGATTTTCATCTTCACGGTTTTTATTTTGTCTTATGTTTGGATTAGACTCATCCGTCTACTGCACATATGGCAATATAAGAGGGTTTCCCTTAGTCTTGAAAATCCAATATATAGGGCAACGATGGGAGCCGTTCTTCCCCATGGCAGTAAGACTACTCTTTAAATCTACTTCTGAGGCGCTTCCGGGTCCCTGATATGCATTAACTATACTTTTTTAATTGATTGTTACCACTTTACAGTGATTGATGCGCAGGACATCTCTACGTAGCGGTAGACTAGTGAATAAATCGGCGCTTTCTATTGACTCAAACTATTTCAATTGTTGGAATTCACTTCTTTCTTTCACCTATCATAAGTACGGTTACTATCCCGCTGCATGTTACGGCACATAGATCTACTGCTTTTGGTCACAGGAAACATAATTGATCAACTGAGTTGAACTTAGTCACTTAGTTGAGAAGGGCTGTTTCTCTGACCTGGAATGGCAACGCAGTTCGAGGGTACTGATAGTTGATCCATTGGCATGAAAGTCGGTTTCCGCCATACTATGTGCTGTAGATTCTTCCGACTGACCGACACTACTGTTTCTAGTAAGTTCTACGTCAGGGAAACAATCAAGGACTGCACTGAAATCCTGCTTCACAATAAGGAACGTCATCTGCCTTGTCCGAGAGAGCACTTTTGAGAGCTGTTCACTTGGCTCCTTGCTCCTCTACATCTTTCTACAGGTGGTGCCGATTTGGCCATACTAGATTAGCTTAGAGACTATCGGAGACAAGCAGGGAACGCCATCATAGCCCTTAATCTTTTCGTACTACAGATACGAATTCCCTTCAGCCAGCGCTACCCAAGGATGGAGTTGAGGCTTTTGCAAAGCAGTGACCCACATCTTCGAGCAGGCATGTGAGTAAGTGACCACCCCATCCAACTGGGGTGAATCGATCATAGTGGCAGCGCACCGGTCGTGTTAACTACAGGAGTATCAGTCTGATGCCGGTCTCTAGCTTTAGTTCTAATCTGTGCACTTACTGAGAAACGGTTATCCCGGGTGAGGAGGGAATGAGCCGGTTTTCATCCGGAACGAAGCTGTACAGAGCGGCAAGTGCTAAATCAACATTACACTTACAGTGGGTCGACAACAGCTGTATTCATCAGTTACAAAAGTGTGTTCGACTCATTACAGTGTTCCACTTTTTTCGTACTACATACTCATAAGAGTGTTTCCATCAACAATTTGGACATTTACGCGGCTTGCACTCAAACGCCACAGGTCGCGTCAGGGTCTACGGTGGATTTTCCCGACGCGTCTCCGACAGTATATAATTTTTGCCAGTTATTTAATTTTCTACTTTCTTCCTCATTATCTTGAATCCCGTCATGGGCATTGTAATACTCCCTGGGTCATGCGGACGATACCGTCCGGTCATTCGACATTTGTGAGGTGGCACAGTCGACTATAGACTAGATTGGCCCCACCATTTGCTATACATTTCGCACCTTTAAAGTACACAGTGCAGTTTCAGTCGCGTGATGACCCTGTGACTTTTGGCACTTAGGAACTAGTATCAGTGAACCAATGTATCGATCTGGACAGCTGTGTTAAGCAGCGACCAGCATATTTCGGAAGTTAAAACTTCCTTTCTGAACTTGTGGAATCTGTGGCATCAGAAGCGGGTTTCACTCGATCTGAAAGGCCTTGTGTGGACTTTTCTACTTTTTCGTAGTGAGGCTTGCCATCTGAGGATTTGAGACGCCCGTAAGTCTTTGTTTATCATCTCCCTCAAGTCAGTGTTTGCGTCGGATGACATCCGCATATCCGCAAAAATGATGTGCACAATCAATTACGAAGCAGGTAGTGGGGTCAACTTGAGCATGTGCTACTTATGCTCAGTCACCGATTATCAGAGAAGAGCCTTCGTTTTCTGTCAGGTGTTGGATGGCACAAGGCGGGGTAAAGTCAACTTGACAGCGGCTAAAATGGGTGCTTTTGGCTCGTCTCCCCCTCTAAGCTGGAGTCTGCAATCAGCCGTGTACTTGGCTCCAGACTTTACAGGACATGGCTCGCAGTCGGCACCAGTGACGTGCGTGCTGCTGTCTCATAGTCTTTTTAACTTGCGTCTGATTTTGAGTTAACTGCGGAGTATGGCTTATTACCGCGACAGACAGTGAAAGCCGTATAGAAGCTGTATTACCGATCCCGCCTTATCTTCTAATGTTAGTCATGTGCTTTTGGTCATCTGTTGTCGACAAGATTTAGCCGCCTTGATACTTTATGTTTGTTTAAAGCATTTAGGTTTTACGCTAGGTTCCCTTATTTCCGGTCTTATTATTCATGGTCCCTTAGGCTACCATTGCCATATGGCAGAAAAGAGTCAGTTCATCTATATATACTGCTGTTGTTGTCGTTAATGACGACAATGAACCGTAATGACCTAAGAAATGTGGGATGGCAAGTGTGAACGACAGGGATCTGGAAGTTATCTACCTTACTACGGTTAGTGCTGGTCGGCCGGTGGCCAAGTGATCTGCGCGCCTGGTTTGCAACCATAGATTCCCCGGTTCGAATCCTCGTAGGGGTGGACCTCCTCGCGGTAGTGGTTGCGCGACATCGAAGCGCCGTTACGGCGTACAGCTGACATTATTTTATTATAATTTCCTGTTGGTGTTGATGATGGCTATCTTCATCATTGTGCTTAATCGAAACCCAGGATGATTCTGTTGGGCGCCAATTTCAGTACCATAACTACTGGACTGAAATTTAACCATTACTCTCAAATTAGACATGAATGACAATAAATGTTGAGACTCCTTGATACAGAGAAGACCACCGCTGGACTCGCTGCTCGAAATAATAAGTGAGCGAGGCAAATCAGGTGAGAGATATCTGGAAATTATGTATTGTGCACCCAAGAACACTGCACCCCATCACGCGTTTTGACTTGATTTGATCTCATCAGGTAATGATAGCAATCACCGAGCCCAGGACAACTGAAATATTAGTTCCGACCTCTACCTCCAAGACCCCAGGTTTTTACGGGTAATGCTTGGTACGACGGTTAATGACTGACAGGAGATTCATTTGCATATATGCATATATATATATATATATACATATACATATATATATATATATATATATATATTTGTATATAGTACCTGGACTCATGTCCTCCTCCTCGCCTCCTCATGGCGACCGCTAGGTGAGAGTTGGGTTACGCCCTTCTCCCTGCTAAGATCCAGGACACCAATCCGCATGAGTCAGTGAACTGACCATGTGCTAGACCCGCTGCTTTTCAGGTGTACATTTAATCGAAAGCTTTGGCTGAGGACCAAAGTCGTTCTGTCAGTATGCTACTCCATCCTCTTCGGAGGTTAGGATGTGGACGATGGCCCTCTTACCGTAAAACTTAGCCATAGGAGACAACAGATCCATGGGTTATAAGTTCACAGCTCGAGTGACGTAGAGTACGAGCACCACGCATTGCAGACAAGCAGCGGCAAGTGCGGAAGCGGTCAAAACCGATGGGTTGTACTCCATCGACATCGAGCGTTTGGTGCTGTAGCAAATGCGATCGCGATTACCTGAGTGAGGCAGGCCTAGTGAGCCATGTGCAAAGCCACTCGGGGCCAGCACCGAAGTGACGAAGAGTTCTGTTGAGAACGTAGGGAGAACCGATGCAGCGTTGGTAGGTACGCTGCATTAGATTTACTAATCGCCTCCTTACATACTGAGTCTTTTTATTTCAAGTGGTGGGTTTGCTATATTGTCCTAGTGCGATTTTATCCCAACTTAATGTCTACCTGTACTATCTTCTATAAACTTGCACGTTGTTAAACTACTTTGGTTAACTTCGATAACATTTTCGCGCTTGTGGCATTTTCTTAATACATATTTTCTGACGTCTTGAGCTTATCGCGAGTTTGTTCGTAAAAAAATTCTAAATGCTCATTTATTGAAGAGTTATCCACCGTATGTGTATGCATTATTCGAGTTATTTGATTTGATTTCGCGTCTCAAGTGACTGAAGGTTGTTTGATATCCCCGGTGTGGCTGCGCATGATGTGCATCTTGACAAGGTGTCTACCCATCTACCACCTTCCACCTCGATTATTGGCTCCAGGAGACAGTTGGCCGTTGCTGGATGGGACGGGGTGCACGGTCTTCGTGGTCGTGTTAGGCTCAGAGAGGTTCCATCCACTGTGGAGCGGACTACGGTCAAGGCGCCGTCTTGTGTACGCCTGAAGTCCCAAATACAGCAAAATTGTTTTTGCCTGTGAAGAATGAATGACCGGCTCCGTTGATGAAACGTGGCTCCCATCCACATGCCTCCCGGTCTTATTCCTTTGGGTTTACACCAGATATGTGGTGTGTAACTGGAGCTGTGGGTGGTTCAACCCAAGCCATCCATGATCCCTCTGTAGGCGCAGGCGTTTAGTGTAAACCCGAAGGAATAAGACCAGGAGGCATGTGGATGGAAGCCACGTTTCATCAACGGAGCCGGCCCACACTCCTTCAAAAGCAAACACAAGCACGCTGTATTTGGGGAAATCAAGCGTACACAAGGCGGTGGCTGGACTGTAGTCCGCTCCACACTGAGTGCGTGGAACCACTCTTTGATTCTAACACGGCCACAAGGACCGTGCACCCCGTCCCCTCCAGCAACGACCAACTGTCTCCTGGAGCCAGTATGGACGAGGTAGTGGGTAATAGACAGGTAGGCACCTTGTCAACATGCACATCAAGCGCAGCCACACCGGGGATATCAAAGAACAGCCATTAACATTAAATGACAAGCTGAAATAAAATAAATCAATTCATGAATACAGATACGGTGGCATAGCTCTTCGCTAAATTACCATATGAAGTAAGTTGGTTAGCAACGAGTCCGCGATAAGTAAGAAATCTCCACAAGTTACTTAAAACTGCAACAAACGCAACAAAGTTACGGACG